GGTAGTAAGTATTTTGTGTTTGAAAATATTAAAGTCATGAATATTGTAGAAGTGTTAATATTAGTACTACTTTTAGTCTAACTTATGAAATCAAATAACGATTATGCCGGTAAGTTGTCCATATGAGTCGATTTCCAATTGCATCTGTATTAGTAGGCTAACTGAAGGAACAAAAGTATTACCGTGGAGAAGAATTCCAACTAGTGTTCCAGTTAGTTTGATACGGTTTGTTTAGTTACGGGGAGATTTTCTCAACCTCATTTTTACTTGACCGTGATAGAATTTATTAATACTACTAATACACATGAATGGTTATCAAAACAAAATTTAAATACGTGAGTGGTAATTATGTGAATTTTGGACAGATAGCTAGGAACAAATCGTTAAACATGAGTGTATTCTTAAGAGACATGCTCTAGACTCAATGTTCCGATCTGCGGCAGACTATTTATTTATATCTATACTTGCCGGCTGATTGGGTATACAAGTTAGTTGAAAGTATGCAGTTTATCATAAGGCGGAACACGATTTAATTGAGATATAGTGGTTATACGTTATTGAAATTAGTTAAACCTATGTGTCATATTACTAAGTGATGTGGTGCTGCAAGGTGTATTTGGCTAAATAATTTTTTACAAGATGATTAATAGTGAGTGATGCTCATGTGATTATCAGGGAGAACTTAAGTTGTAACCAAGGGGAGTGCACTCCCAACTCATGCCTATGATAATAGCTTGAACCTTAGTCAGTGTTGGGGTAAATTCGACATTGATGTTTTCAGTTTGCAGGAGATTTGCTCGACTGCTTATACTGATTATTCGCATGCATGATTGTGTCGCTAAACCATCAATTAGACTGACAAAGTTTTGAGATATTTACTGAATGAGCAACTGATAGAGAAACATACTGTAATCATCTGTAGTGAATGAAGAAAAACAACACTAGTGATAATTATAAGTCAATTTGCTGACCGATTTTGTTAATAGTTTCATTAATTTTATCAATCATATTACGTGATTGTCAAGTCATGACAATGCTTTATGAAGATATCCTGAAACTATTATGTTTAATTAGTTATAGTGTTGATTGAAGATTGGCCAGTGGAAAAATAGGCATTGTTGTTTTAGGTGATTCAAAATTATCAGAAATTTATAACGTTAAAGAATCCGAGACGCCTAATTTAATTATAAATTTCAATTCAGAAATATTTGTTTAATGTTAATTCTAGTAGGCTACGGAGTTTTGATTTTAAAAGTTTGTTCAACCAACAACTACCTGAGGATTTAGTAATTTTACTAGTGCAGTTGATAGTACCTAAATTTTTAATCTTATTATCTAAATTATGTTTGCATTTTAGACTGCTAATATGATAAACCAATCCATAAATCCAAATACGATTAGCAACAACGACTATGATGGGTTTATTAATAAACGTTAGAGGCAATCCAGATGATTTCTAAATTTAGAAGACATGGAGATATAGTGTAACGTATGTATGAACCAAGTTAACATGCAGGTTGTTGACGTATATGACGATTTAAAAATAATGAACATGACCAGACAAGTAATTTTAAAGTTTAGACTGCTTGTGAAACTTCAGGCAGGAATATGATGCGTTATAAACATTCTATAAGAAGTTACTGCATTTAGCCTAAAGATAATTATAAATATGTGGCAAACACAACTGGAAAACATATACATGTTAAGTACAGAAAAATCATCCAGTAAAATAGTTGAACTCGCCTGGATTATTTTTGAAAATTAGATTATTCAGTGGACGACATATATAACGCCATTCGTGAGGAGTAATGATCCAAAAGTATACACAATAAAACATGCAGTATGGCAATTAATTCCAGGGTGCTTGATGCTGTTGCCACTCGCTCAGATCAAAACAATCGAATGAATCCAGATAATTGTGTCAGCCATTGAACGAGCCATCTAAAATGACCTTATGATTGCAGGAAACTTATGGCTGAAACTCACCGTATGTTTTTAGAGAAGTGTCATCCTTGTTGTTTGGCAATGGAACTCGAGAATATGAAATTAGGCAGGCAGTGGTCGGAAGAAAAGGATAGTGCATAGTTTAAAACAGGATGAGGTGTTAAGCGAAGAAACACTAAGAATTAGATCCAGATAACTATTTAGTCCTTGATTGCATTGTTAGTCAATGTATATTTACGTTATTTACAGGTCATATTTGCTAGAGCTTGATGTTTAAACAAGTCTATGTCGCTGAAGCATGTAAATGCTATTAAAGCTTGTTAACGAACCATCAAAGCTAATTAGTTGATATAGATGATCAACTTTTATTATCGATTGAGCTAGTAAGTTATGTGAACTCATAGATATAACATTACGATAATATATGTGACCATTATTCAAAGGACTATACGAATACTGGGTTTACAAAAATAAAAACCGATTGAGAAGGTTAAGGTGGAAATAAGGATTAGCAATAATAGGTTGCGTTTCTTTAGTTGGGCTCACCAATGTAGAATTATGATCTACTATGATATTAGTACTGCTCTAATAATAGACCTAATCCTAAATTTGTAGATTTGTCATGATATAACTGCCTAATCTATAAGATCTTACGTGGAAGTCACACCATCGACTACACCAACTCACTGTATCGTATCAATTACCAATACATGATGTAGAACAAGGTTAGGCTAGAGAAAGAACAATATATTTAATATGAATAGAAGATATAAGGTAACATTCAGCAGAGACCACGCCTGCATGGCCGAGCCATGCCGTTCGATCAACTCTAGTCTATTCAATTCATTATTCTCGCCTTCTCCATCGTTAGGTATTTCTTCGCGTTAAATATTGAATACCTATTTTCCGAGTAATCTCGTATTCAGCTTTGAGGATAATGTGGTTATGGTCCAATGCCACTACAACTAAGCCACTCGAGGAGCTTACATCGGTGACAAGTCATGTGGTACACCACATAGTCACCTGCAAACCGCCAGTCACGTCACGACCTCGCCGACTGGCACTGGACAAATTAGCTTTCGCTAAACGTGAGTTTGACAATTTACTAGCTACTGGTATCATTCGTCCTTCTCACAGTCCATGAGCCTCTCCTCTTCATATGGTGCGCAAAAAAGATGGGGTTAGTTGGAGACCATGAGGCGACTACCGAGCTCTAAACGTAGTTACGCGCCTTGATAGCTATCCATCTCCCACATACACGACATCATGACATCGCTCAAGCGCACGACTATATTTTCTAAGATCGATCTGGTATGAGCATATCATCAGATCCCAGTCGCTCTTGAAGATCTCGAAAAACTGATAACACGACTCCTTTCGGTTTGTTTGAGTTCATGCGTATGCCTTCTGGATTACGGAATTCTGCTCAAACTTTTCAAAGGTTTATCGATAGCATTGTACGAGACTTATATTTTGTTCACGACTATATTGTTGACCTGCTAATCGCATCATCAAACGTGGATGAACATTATCAACATCTTACGCTATTATTCCAGCGCCTTCCGGACGATGGAATAGTAGTCAACACAGACAAGTGTGGATTGGGCAAGTCGGAAATAATGTTTCTGGGTCACCTCATTAAACAAGATGGTATTTTACCTTGTGAGGATAAAGTACGTGCAATAAAGGAGTACAACGTGTTGTCCTCACTCAAATACTGAAGACATTTCTCGGTTTCGTTAACTTCTACCGCCGTTTCATTCCACACGCGGCAGAAAGGTTATGACCACTAACCGACTTACTTCGCGGCAACCCACGCAAGTTAGAAATGAAGGATACTGCGCGTATTGCATTTACAGAGATCAAAACGGCTCTGCCGCAAGACACACTTCTCGCTTATACCGTCCCATCAGCCACGCTTAGTATAGCGATTGATGCACCTGATTTTGCTAAAGGAGCCGTTATTAAACAGAACATCTCTGGTAGTTGGCAACCTCTCGAGTTTTTCTCACGACGCCTTACTCCCACGGAGAAGAGATATAGCGCTTTTGGTCGCGAACTGCCTGCAGCTTACTGCGCCATCAAACATTTTCGTCAAGCAGTAGAAGGACGTCAATTTATCTTATTCATCCACCATAAGCCCTTAAGGTATGCTTTGCATACCAAGTCACCACGAGAGTGCAGACATTTGGACTATATCTCCCAGTTCACGACAGACTGTTGTCATATCAAAGGCGAGTCGAACTGTGTTGCCGGTGCTCTGTCACGTATCCAAGATAGTGCAGTTACATTGCCGGTGCTTGTGTTCTCGTGGTAAATCTAAGTCACTACATGTGTATGCTTTTCGCCTTTGTCGACCTGAAAAGTATGTACAGAATATGTGATAGTGGCCATCTTATGCCCTCTGACCGGATGGAAATATTTATCTCATTCTAGGAAGCAAATGCTACAGAAACAGCCGTCAACATTTTGAAAGAAGGATTAATATAAAACTAGCCAGTAACACGTGCTACTTAAATTTGGAGTACTTCCACCCTAAATTGAAGCTTTCTCTACTCAGTCTCAAGACATTACGTCAAGTTGTGGAATGATAAGATGCGTTCTCAGGATTCGCTTCAAACAAATTATTCTTACCGAGATTGTCAGGAGTTTTGACTACTATTATTGATTATTAGTAACTCCACAGTACAACCAGGCACAAGATTTCTCTGTGACGTTCCAACAACTTTACTGCCCCAGAACAAACCTATTAATTGTATTTTAAATATAAACATAAAATACAAATTTTGCTCAGGGGTTACAACTCAGCCAACTGGTGAACGACATGAAGCGCTTAGAAGCATATTTTAAAACTATGAAGTAAATTGAAATAAAAATCGATTTGTCTATATCAGCTCGTTTCACGCATATTAAATATCAGAAGGTATAATACCTGTGATAAAAGGGAATACAAACATGAAAATGTATGTAGCATGTTTTTCCTTTAAAACTGGATTACTATGCATTTGCCACTAGTACTTTGAAGGGCGTCATTGTTTTAATTATTCAATTTGTTTGGCATTGAGGTCGTGGGGTTGCTTGAATAGTTCCAGAGTATGGGGACTAATAGTATCGATGTTTTCGTTATGCTCAAAATCCTGGCTTTTCAGTCAGATTTTCAGTTAATTTTAATCACATTGCCGAGTTCAAAGTTAAAACGAAAGTCCGTATGTCGGTGGATCCAGTTGACACCATAAACGTATATCACGGGAAACACGCAAAAAATCATGTGCTGTTACCTTACATCAAGGAAGAAACAACAGTTATTTGATAAGTTTATAGACTTTCTAATATGTTTGGTAGCCGGCCACAATGATGCAGAGTGTTGAAATGTAATATCTAAACTGTTAATCATAGTGATCTCAAATCGATCATGTAGTGAGACATCAATTTATGGATGACGTCTGAGTGACGTCGAAGGGATTTTAAAAAAAGCTCACTCCCTTATTATAGCTCAAAAAATTGTAAATTAGTTTCAATTTTAAAATTAGGGTTTGAGGTCCTGATTAGTGTTCTCCTCTCGAAATAACACAAAAAATATGCCAAAATGCTGTAAGGCTATTTGAATAAATGAACGTTGCGCCAAAACGTGAGGGTCGTTGTTGCAAACCTGAATAATTCGTTCATAAATTTTTGTCTTGCCCTAAACTGTGGCTTTTTGTCCTCAAGTACCGTCCGAGTTATTCAGTGCCGCCCCCACCCAAGGTTCTATGTTTTTTCTTCAGTAGCATTAATACATTTCTTCTCTAGATTGAGAACCATTTTAGTCTCATCTTATTTTAGATGTATTTTCTTATAATCAATGCGGAAGTAGCGTTAATTTAGGATGCTTCCAGTAAATGGTTCAAATGGTTGTGGACGGAATAGACGAAGCTTTCGCTTAACAGGCTTCCGTGTCTAGTAGCAAGGGATCACTAAATCCTCCAGGCAGAAACCTAGGTACGTTAACAATAAAAGAGGAAAAGAAATTGGTAGATCATAGTGTGATGCTGTCCTTGGTCCTTAAGAATAGGTCAAGTTGCTTCTTGAAGGACTCCTGAGAAATCTCTTGAACTAGCTCATCCGGCAGCGAATTCCAGCTTTTGACTACTCTTAAGGAGTAGAAGTTGTGTCTACATTCCGTTCTGCTATGTTGTGTTTCCAGTTTCTGGGCGTTACCCCTTAGGTTATTATTCGAACTAAGCTTAAGTAGGTGTTTAAGAGGATGTCCAGAAGTGTTAAAAATACTATAAGCCATTAATAAATCACCTCGAAGACACCTATGCTCTAATGGGTAAAGGTCTTGTGAATGGAGGCGTTCTTCGTAAGGTTTAGATTTGAGTCCTCGAACTGATTTCGTGGCTCGCCGTTGGATACGCTCCAAAGTGACCTTGTCCTTTTGGAGTGAGGGGGGGGAGTACTATGTTTCCGTACTCTAAATGGGGACGGATGAAACTATTGAAGATTGTATGGAAAGTTCGTCCGTCAAACTGTCCAAAAATGCGCTTCAACGTTACCAGTGCAAAATTTGCTTGGAAGGCATTTTTGTTACAGTTAGCGTAAGACTTTAAATCATGGGGCAGAATTTTTCTGTAATTCTGTGCGATGTAGTTTGACTTTTTCCTTGGAATATTCTGCATATAAACATTACTTGAGTGAATTTGGGATAAAAAGTTTCCATTTGAAAGCACTCTGATTATTTACTGGTAATTCCACACCATCCTAAATTGTAGACTTCCCACTGAATCCTACATTTATTACGGACTTTCTCTTTACTCTTAATTACTTTGCACAACGTGCATTACTTATGAACCTTTGAATTAGTATGCGTTTAACTTACGTATGTTTGAATAGTCTTTTGCGTGTAAATCGGTAATAATTAATCTCCCTCTCAATGAATTTATTACATATTGCATACAAATGGTTTAAAACTATTATAAACATGTCTCAGACTCAAAAAAATATCGCTCACAGCCACTCTCAGTAGATCTTGGGGATAAAACACTGCCATAGAAGACTTATAGCTGGAGATTAGATCATACATATATGGGGTTCACTAAAAGGTACCAAAGTGTTTTGTGATTAGTGAGAGAGATGTGAAGTTGGGACTGTTAAAACTGATATAAATAAAAATTTGTAAGGGTACGTATGAAGTTAATATTTACGTTGTTAGTCCGTCAAACTCATGTTTTGATTACGTTTCATTGGGAGCTACTTTACTGCAGATTGTCTTTTTATGATTTTTCAACTACCATATTTGCTTTAATATTGTCAAATTTATGTTTGTGGCCCACGATTTTGGCATTCAGGGCAATAGTTAAGGTCTTATTGAGCTTCTGATGTTATGGAATGATCCGCATGGTCGGAGGGTCTTACTTTGTTGGTTTTTTGATCATCTTAAAGGAGATTGTTTTTAATGTTCTGCATTTTATTCGGCTCAGTTTATTTTCTAAATTTTTTCAATTGTAAAACTGAGGGGGTTTCGTGTTGCGCTTGAACTAGGGTGTTTTGTAGTGTGTTCAGGGTTTTATAAAGCACTCTAATATCGGTTTCGCTTTTTATTTATGGGGAATTACAAATTCTAGCATAATGGTCATGCATTATATTTTAAAATGCATGTAATACGGTTAATCCTGTGAATGATTATACTAGTTGTCCATACTAACAGTCTTGTGACAAATATCCGGATTTCATTCATAAAGTCTGTCTGATCTCTTATTTTTGTGCATAGTTTTTGCGTAAGCTCACTTTATCATAGGGAGCTGTAACATACAGTTCGGATCAAAAACTGCTGATCAGAATTGAGTGATGGACATACCTAGTGTGAAGTATTCTACCTAAACAACATTCATAATAAGGCCTAATGTTTAGTTTAGGCAATATCGTTAACAAGAGGTTATTAACTGATCCCTAAGGTTAAGGGATAATTTTATTCAGTACTGCAAAGTTTCCTTAGGAGTAAACACGATATTATCGTACTTGGGAAAATACATTATCCTGCTAACTGCGTATAGTTGTTTAATGTGAAAATAAATCAGCCGATTTAACTTGTAGCACCGTCACCACTTTAGCCCAACATTCCTATGATTTATTTAGTATGATTTGTATAGTCTTGGCACATTTTCATGTCCGCATATTTAACGTCAGCTTCTAATAGGCTAGGCTTGTCAGTACCACTACACCGGATATAATTTTCCTGATAACCTTTATTTTGATGTTAGTGTTACCTTAATGACCACGACTAGGAAGGTATTCCGTGGTGGTTGCGACAACTAACTTAAAAGGATAGATTCAAATGATTTTCACTTATGGCATGTTACATATGATAATGCATAGAATAACGAGGTTCTCAAGGGTTTGCAAGAAATAGAATTCCTCATACTTATAAATCATCAGAGTTAACATTGTGAAGTAGTTCGTTGTTTCAAATTGTCATGTGTACTTTTGCTTAATAGGTTTGATCAAGCGAACCTAATCTGTAACGAGCCTGGTAGTTTCGTCTCTCCAGTGACTAAACTTTACACAAATGTTTCGATCATTATCCTTGAACTCCAGCTTCTCACGCCTACTAAGCTTTTATTTGTTTAGTGTCTGAAACTAAACTATAAATGAAGGACCATCGAGGTTTCCATTCTAAAATATAAGGTTTTTGATTAAGTTTTACCAGATAAATGCGTATGCTCATTAAGTATCATGTTTCCCTATTCAGGGAAATATCTAGTTTCTGAATAGTGGCGCGTAAGACAATGATATGGATAGTTATGCGCCTCATCAGATTTATTTGACAGGACTTCATAAAGCACTTCTGGCCCTTTTTCAAGGAAAAATTTGCCGCTCATCTCAGTCATTGATATTTCGTCACTGCTTATCTACGTTTATTTTAACTAATAATCGTAAATGGACTTTGGGTTTATTGCAGAACATTCGACTAAACATGTTATCATCCTGTTATAAACTTTTGGATTAGATTTAAATATCCTTCGTCTTATCGGTGTTTATTTATCTTACTGCAGGGGTATTTTGTCAAAATCCACTTGTACAGTCATTGTTACTTTGCTTCGTGCAACTATTTAGGCATTTAGAACAAATTTATGGTTCCATATTATTGTAACATGTATTAACTTAGACATCAACTCGGTTTATCAATGTTCTTATAGGTGATATTAGTGATAACGTTTTGGTCAGTGTAATCAAAGAAATCATGTTATTTATTTATTTTGATTACAGATCAGTCAAAAATATCTTGTAATTTTATGAAGATTGCGCATAAGCATGGGAGGAATATCCACCAAAATAGCGTTTGAAGTGTGTGTGGTAACAGGAGATTACAGTGGCGATGAATTGGGTCCCGGAGTTAACATGGTCATGTTTGATCACTGTGGTAATCAGTCACCAACAATTACTTTGGATAGTATATTTCAAAATGATATTGACTATACACAAGCGAAATTCACCATTGATTTACAGGCCTGGAGTCGACTTAAAGTAAATCATGTTTTACACGATATTGATCACTTTGTAATGTAGGTGTTTAAACGACTACACCATATCGAATTTTGGTGTACTACTCAGTCTTATCCACCACCTGCTTGGTTTTTAGATAGAGTGATTATTAGGGATAGAAGATTTGGGATGACTGCTGAATGGAAATATTTTTTCTTTCCTGTACATCAGTGGATTAGCCAAGACCACCAATATGTTGTTCATGACTGTGAGGCCTGGATTCCTCAATTGGAACCCTTTCCAGAGTTAAGAGAAGAGGAAGTTAGTAGACGTATGCAATTTTTTACTTTATTCCAACGCTCAAAGGGTTTGCCAGTGGAAGTGAGTTGGTATATAATTTAGTTTTACCTGTTATCAATTAGTTACAAGAAATCCCACCTTCGGAGTTGTTCTCATCAGACTCTCGAGTAAGTGATAATCATGGTTATTTAAAATAAATATCTAGTGGGATATTGAGCCTTTAGTTCTGGAAGTTATTGAACGTACTGGTCTGGCTGAAGAATACACAAGTGAAGAGTCTTGGGATTCTCTTGACACATTGGGAAACTTCTATAAGAAATATAATATTACTGAACCTGTGGTGAGTAAATTTTATTTAACCAAATATTGCTTGAATTTTAAAACTTGACCAAAACATAGTAAATTCATGGATTTTACACAAGAATATTGATTCAAATCTTTCGTGAATTTTCATTCAGAAATTAAAGGGTCGAATAAAAGTGAACTTGCGAATAAGACAAAAAGAATATTTGTTTAATTTTGTAACCAATTGTAATACAAACTTATTAGAGAAGGAAAACTTGTTTCAACAGATATCAGTCCGTCGCAATCTCTACGTGCACATAAATGATAATTTGATCAGATTAAATGGAAGCTAGGGGTCGCCAAATGAAGACAGAACCGCTGATTATTAGTCTAAATTATGTCGTTGAGTGCAGAGTACCTGAATGTAGGAGACCTTAGTTGACAAGAGTCTAAATCTATTGCGGTGACACAGATACATCCATTTTTATCTTTCTTCTGAGCTTCAGTTTCATTGTTTTTCCATACGCTTCTTCACATTGTTTCTTTTTTTTCGGACCTTATTATCTATTCTTAGTACTTTTTTTTACAATCGTTGATACTAGGATGACCTCGCTGATGTGGTGTGGTACCTGGGGTGAGGCACGTTTGTGTCAGGTGTTACGTTGTTTACAAATAAATGGCTAATTAGTGTGTGTGTTTATCGGTGTAAAAGACGTTTTGGTTTAGGTTGAGACTATTCAACTTTGTTTAGATATAAAGTCGCATACTTGTTTGTTAGATATAGTGCAGGTTAGATTATTAATCTCACCGAAAATTAGTAAACTTTTGTCCCAGTTATTCACGGAGTCGGATTTTGTAGTTTGTAAGTCGTGTAATTATTTTACGTATATATTCAGTTTCATTTAATCCTTTTCGGATGTATAAAATTCTGATTTTTCGCAGAGTTTACAATTTTGGATGATGAATGATATTTGCTTCGGTGCACAACGTATTCGTGGATGTAATCCATTCACTATTCAAGTCTGTCGTACATTACCGAAAAGGCGAGCAAATTTTTTTCTTAACTCTTTATTTCGAATCATCAGTTTACTACCATTTATTTGAGTATTAATAGTTTTGGTTAAATTCCTCAGATTAATCGTGTACAAACTAATTCGGCTAACCCGTCTATATCATACGAAGAGTTTGAGTGAAAGAACTTGTGAATGATCACTTGATTTCCAGCTTGCATTTTATGTTATGTATTCTTGAAAGACGTTACGTCCGTGTTAGCAAAACTATTGTTTCAACCTAATTTACCTCTATTGTACTCTTTCACGTTGTTGATCAGTGTGATTTATATAAAACTACTGATATCGACTAGTAGTATGTGTGGTTAGTTTGTTTTAATAATTGTGTAGTAAAGTGGGGGCAATGAAAATAAGCGTTCACAACAAATCCGAACGTTATAAATGTTAAAATAACCGGACGAATACAGTTGCTTAGAAACAATGGATGGTAGTACTCCTAATATATTTATGTTCATCAACAAATATTAGTGAAACACCATGTCATAATCATAAAGCTTTATTTTTGGATATAGGTTATGAGTGATAGAGATTCATCTTCATTATTTTGATCCCTGTCAACGGAATATATTGTTGCCCTCCTTTATTTACTAAAAGCCCTTAGTTTCTGTAGATGTTTTCATTGTCGCTAGTTTCTTATTTCTTAGTACATCTAAAAACATGAATTAGTTCGATACATTATGGAATCAAATGGAAAAAAATTGGTATTCGAAAGGATTTGATTCTTGTGAGTTTGGCCTTCTCCCGTTGTTGTTACTTTGCTGTGAATTTCGCCTACCCACATAACCCTGAGTCCTTTAAGGCAGATATTGTGTATGCTGAAAATTGATTACTAACCTTAAATTCATGCGTTCCTAAATTACTCAATCATATTTTATTTTTTGTATCATTCAAGCTCAGAACGTTTTGTGATTATATACATGAAATACTAGTCTACAATGCGCCACAAATAATGAATCTAAATTAGTACACTCCCATGTGATGCATGATAAAAGGTTAAGTATTAGTGTCATAGTTAATTCACCAATTTATAAGTGATAAGCGATATCGCATGCTCAACGATAGCCTACCTCGTCAGGTGATGTTTAATGGTGTAGGAGTAGGCTGAAAGAAAGCCAGGGGCGACCAAATCGAAATATGGCACCAGTTCGTGAAGTCATTGACACTTGAACTGAACCATGTTAATAAGTGTAAACTACCTGGTTGGAGCCCATGTGATTATCGTAACCAGTGGTTAGAGTCTGTGAGTTACATTTCTCGAAATCGTTCTCAGTGGCCCAGGCGTATGCCTTCTTTGTCTTCCTCTAATTTCCAAGCTTTTGAATTCATAATTTTCCTTGAATCGTATCTTTTATGTCTCATCGTTTCCATCACCACTCATACTGTCACTACCTCTACTGATGTGGGATTTGTCCTGGCAATTTCATCTTGCTGTGCCAGTGGAGTACGGCAACTCAAACTGATGTGCATACGTACCAGGTTCTGTGTTGTGACTGACTGATCGCAACGGAAAATCAGTCAAATGAAATTTTACAACTAGAAGAATATGAAAATATTACAAACCAATTGTTCAATAGGTATTTATAAAATAACAAACTAGCTCCCAAAAAATAAGTTTCCAAAGCTTCACCTTTTTATTTCTTCTCTCAACTCCAACAGCGATCACTAATCTAAATTTTGTTCCACGGTTTTTTCATCATAATTGTATCGACTGACATTTTCTTAAAACAACATTTTATCATGATCGAACCAATGTAATAATCAAATTGAGACAGTTCTTTGAAAACATCGTGGATCATTTCTTCTGAATTGTGACTTCCTGTACTTGTTTTAAAGAAATTAAAGCATCAATCCATAAAACGTTGTCATCATTTAAGGCTTCATTAAAGACTTGTTCTAATGCGTGGAAATTAGTCCATTTTAACTTATAAAAATGATGAAAAAGTCTGTATATAGTATTCATCTGAATGTATTCTATTATCTAAACAGTTAGTATTTCTGATGAGTATTTTACAAACAATTTCGCAACCAGATTTCTTTTAATCTTATATTCATTATTGCTTCATTGGTTTCTGCTAGTCATAAGTAGTACCACATCAAAGAAATATATTTTAGTTATCAGTATATATATATATAATTTAAGTATACATCGAGTGATGATAACTTACTCAAATGTTTTATTGTTTATTGTGTGAATAAATAAATGATTAGGGAATAGAACGATTAGGGTAATTATCCCTTCTTTCTTCAAATTGATTAATTTATATATTTTTGTTACTTAATTTTGTGCTTAAATTAATTGTAGTTTTGAAATGGTAGCAAATTCACTGAAACCTCATTTAGAAGGTTGGACACTACGTCAAATGGTATCAGCTAATCGTTTGTACTTACTTGATTTTCATATAATGCAAGGACTTAGTTGTAAACGTGGTCGAGAATTATGTGCACCATTAGCTATCTTTTTTTATACTGAAAAGAGACAATTAAAGCCAATTGCGATTCAATTGAATCGTAATTCGAATGATGGAAGTGGGGTAAGCATTATAGTTCAAATTTATAATTCCCAATCTTTTACAGGTTATTAAAACTTGAAGTTGGTATACATCTATTATTTTGAGTGATTGTCGTACAGTTACGATAGGGCACTGGGCTGATAGAATTTTTATTCTAAGAAAGTAAAGTGTTTATATAGTAGGCATACATAGACTTCGATCTTCCTTTTGCATCTTGTGGTGTATTCTGCGATCCGAACTGTCTTCACATCTGGTTTTCAAGTGTTCTGTATACTCTGTGCTTTTGATGTACTGAAACTCTTCCCTCCGTTTGACGACTGATGGTGTCGATGTCACTTTCAACTATATATTCCCTACAAGCGATCTTTTAGGTGGGGTTCACTCCAACAAAATACCAGTTTGGTAAAGAAGTGTATTGTTGAATAATTTACTGAACTTCCCGATCGATTATCTCAACAACCATACCATACTTAGCAATAACGATATCTAATTTCTTGGTCATTCGCATAATTACAGTCACTTCATGAGGTGTACTACTGTATCACTCGGAAAAATGTTTATGATTTTCAATATGTGGTTGTGGAGACTGTTGAATCTCATTGAAATCGTGAACTGGTGAATGTAAAAGTTAAGTGTTCTCGCGAGATTAAAGGTTCTAGGTTCAAGTCCTGTGTGCGGGATCATGAATGTTTATTGCTGAGGAGTCTCATACCAAGACAAGACGATTTTCCAGTACTCCTAGATTTTAATTGATGGTCTAACATTGATCTAGTCATGATTTCAATGAAATGTTGACGATCTCATGAAATAATATTTAAAGTATTTATTAGACTGAAATGATTCTTCAGAGATTAAAAGATTATCCTCTGATGATAACTAAAATAATCTTAGGTGGTTTCTGGACTTACTTGATACCAATGATTTAAATGGCTCCCTTTGTCTAGTCATCCAAATTTGTGTAAATGTAACAAAACCATATAGATATATATGGATATTCATAATACCAGATATCTGTATCCAACCGAATAATTAACCATTACAAAAAATCTACCCGTAGTTTCTAGTACAAACTTTGTATCTATGTTATTGCTATAAAGTATAAGTCGATACTTCTGGGCGGGAGCAACCGTATTTCAAAACCCGGAGTGTGTTTCAATAACCCTTGGAACACGCTTCCATAATACTGTTCCATAGTGTCATACTTAGCTATTATAATTCGTTTGTAACTATTTTTTTGCAAATTCAAATAATATCTTTGTTCACTTGCAAATTTCATATTACTATTATGCTACTCTAGAGATCCGATATAAATTCTGACTAATATTTTTCTGTAGTATTGCGTTTGAAATACAGTGTACTGTAGAATTAGTAAAGTAAGTTGAAAGGTGACATTCTGTAATAATTTAATCTACTGCACTGGAATGAAACAAAAAAAATGATGAATGTAGTTGAATTATATGAATTCATTTATTTCATAGATTCTCTTCAACTGTTTATAACCTAAAAACAATATAATAATTATTTATAACCAATTTACATAATTCCAATCATATTAATGAAGACAAGAAAAACATTAAAAAATTACAAAAATATTCACATGATAATTCCAGTGAAAATCCAAGTAGAAAAGATTATTTTAAAAAAACACTTGGCGATGAATTCCTAGAAAATGAAAATTGATACTAAAAGCTATGCGGTAGATAGATTTACAGAATAAAATGAATAGAAAGCAAAAAGTCAAGCAGTAATGAACAGAAGGAATTTACGATTGAATGGATGAAATAAAGTGTTGTGCAACTAAATATTTGAGACTGATGATTATATCCTATTTAAGTTTAGCTTCAATGATTTCAGCAAAATATAATATGCTCGAAATAGTCCTCATATTGATAAATTTGATTGCTCTCGCATTCTTGCGATTATTAGTTAACCAAGTGAGTTCGATCACTTATCATTTCATACACCAGAAGCCTATATCTTTGGTTAAGTAAATTTACTAGGTGCCCACAAAATCCACATTATTAAATTTTCAAAACTCACTAGGTTTTCAGGTGATGCTAAAGTGTATGAAGTGATAAGTTTATTGAGTACTATCGTAATATGATTGACGGAATTATAATAGAAGCTCATTTCAGTCTAATATAACTGGGTTAGTTTAGTTCAACCATTAGGCAAAGCAAATACAACAACCTATTCCAAAACTATGGTATTTTTTCAGTTTATGGAACCTGTAGAGCATTTGTTTGCATTTTACTACTGTTAATGTTTTACTTGAAATATGATCAAACAATTAGATGTTAATCTTTACTTTATTTTCTCTTCGAGTATAAATCTTATGTATTTACATATGCCTCAGTAATAGTAGTAACAGCTTTTTTTCAAGTTATGACTTGTACTATTAACAAAGCATAATGTTTTTATCTTAGATCATTCTTCCAACTGATCCTACTTCAATATGGTTACAAGCAAAATTATGGGTTAATCTTGCTGATGCCTGTCATCATATGATTGTTGGTCGATTGTTAACTCATTTAATATTGGAATCAATCTATGTGTCATTACGACGTAATGTATCACAATCACATCCAATATATCATTTAGTTGCACCACATTTCCGCAGTATTCTACCTGTGACAAAGTAAATTCTATTTTTATAGAGTTCATATTGGAAGCTTGAGTACTAAGTATAATTCATTCTTGCATACTAATATAATCTACAATAATTCTTGCAAAAACAGACGATTATATCCAGTGTTCCTAGGTTTTCAATGTTAATCTAACTTAGATCTGTTCATGATCTAAATGAGGTTATGTTTCAATTTGAATAGCGGTTTTCTACATTTAAACAGATTATGTTGCTCATAGAAGAATTGTAACACTTATTCTACTGTATTTCAGTTGTGATATTACTGTCATCTGTAGTAGGACATAATAATAATTTGAAATCAGAAACAGATTGTTAGTGTGGTGTTTGCTACTTATGCTGACAGACAAAAGCAGTATGTAGCCGTAATCGGAAGTGGAATGCCTGGCAGCAGAAGATTGAATTGAAGAGAACAGAAAGGAAATCGGAGAACCATCGAAATAACAGTACAATTATAGGGATAGTGGAGTAGGTAAAGACAACACAAAGAAGATATGCAAATGATGTACATAGTTCATGATTTCCATATTTTACTTATCTCTGTGTGATTTTGCATTAAACAATAAATTGGTCTTCTTCAGCTTATTCATTACTTCGTATAATATATCGTGTAATTTCATGGCGACATTGTATTTCTTCACCAGCGAAATTCAAATAGCATTCACATTTGGAATAATTAAATTGCGAATTATAAATTTCCCCGTAAGGATCTTTCCTATTTATTCAATACAATACGGTATTTTATTTGGTTTCATAATAATTAGAATCATAATAATAACAATATTATTATTATTATTATTATTATTATTATTATTATTATTATTATTATTATTATTATTATTATTATTATTATTATTATTATTACTAACCCCACAATAACTTCCACAGTTTTGTGATTATGATCATATTGTTGATTGATTTAGCTTATACATTTCCATGATTCCATAAGTTTCTACTGATTAATTGTATAATATCCTTATTCTTTTCCATTAACTAATATGTTGATGGCTTTCTAAGATCTAGGTTAGATAAAAACGTCAGTTAGGTGTACGTCGTATGTTTATATATATTTTGTTGCTCATAATGAATATGTATACCATATTACTGTTTTTGTTTATTGGACTCCTTTCATATAAATCTTAAATTATAACTCATAGTTTTTATAATTATTATTTTACTTGTTAAATTGAAGGAAATTAAAAGAGTGGACATTTGAAAATGGATGGATATCTCGTAATATTCAATTGTCACGTAAAGGAATTAAACAGTTATTAAGACGAGCTTTTAAAAAATGGCGTTTTGATGTAAATGCAAATATTTATCGTGAACTAGAGTCAAGAGGAGTAAGTTTTTAAATTTTGTTTTATTTTAAGTGAATATATAATATCAACTATCGAGACTGTAATATACCTTATGTTAAAGTAAGCTTTTATATTTTAGTGTTTTTAAAATACTTAAATGTTTGTTAACTAATCGGTATCGTGATTGAATGATCTCTTTGTTAAAATTCCACTGATAGTATTATCTTATTCCGTATTTCAGATGCGTTAATACTTTATTCTGATAGTCGACTTCGTCTAGCTATGTCATTTTGAAGTAAAACTTCTAACTTGTCAGGTTTTATATGGTATCACTGATGGTATTATCAGGGGGATAGTTCAATACGAATCTCTCATTGTGCCTCATATGTTATTCACACTACTCAGTGTAAATATTAATCAGGGATAGCGTCATTCATTATCTGTTTTGTTTTATAAATCCAACTACTGTATCTATCATTCGCCATTTTATTTTGATATTTTCAGGTATTTGATCCAAATAGTTTAGGTAATTATCCATATCGTGAAGATGCTATACTTGTATATCATGCATTGGAACAGTTTATCTCAAGCTACGTTCGTCTATTTTACCGTAAGTATTATTTCTGTTTTTTTTAGTTTCAATTTCTTTTTGTTCGTACTTTAGTTGTTCTTTTCTTCTATCTGCGTACTCAGAATTCCATATACAGTGGATGTTGTGACGTAAACCAACGTGTGAGAAAGGTATTGCGTTGTTATATCGTTCATTTTCACATTATATAGTATGGCCTATACTTAAAGTCTAGATGCTGAGGATTATAAATGTCTACGTAGAATTAGGTGGACGGTTCATTACTTTATATTGTAACCGCAATATTGAAATCTGATTGTTCTGTAACAACGTATTGACTCCATTAAGAGTGATAAAGGAGCGAACGATGAATGAACCATGAAGTTACGTTCTGTATTTGATTCCATATATTTTAATTGAGCTATACCTGTGACGGTGACAATAAAAATCCAAATACGAATTAAATTAGATGATTTTGTTTCAGACACTCACTCAGGCAGATTGTAAGATAATAAGTGGAGTTCGGAGTTCATCTTCTCCGCATCTTATCTTACAATCTGCCTGAGTGAATGTCTGAAACAAAATCATGTAATTTAATTCGTATTTGGATTTTTATTGTCACCGTTGCCCAAACGGGGATAGCTCAATTAAAATATATGAAACCAAACACAGAACGTATCTTCATGGTTCATTCCTTCATTATTCCCAATGGAGTCATTACGTTGCTCAGCTGATCAGCCCAAATGGGTTGGTATCTGACCAAATCTCTGCATGGATTCAGAAAGTTCGTTTGTCTTTTTCCAACTTACGTCACTTGTTGAGAATGTTAGATATGCGTCTATCATTTAAGGCAGTTCGTTCTGTTTTAATTTACGGCTGAGAAACGTGGCCATTAAAAGTAGAAGATACTTGTGAGTTACTAGTATTTGATCACATATATCTTAGAAATATTGCTCTCATTTGCTGGAATCACCGGGTATGTAATAGTGAGGTTAGACACATGGTATTAGGGAATAGTGGTAAATCAGTTGATGAGGTTATAAATTTTAATCGAATGAGATGGTTGGGCCACGTGATACGTATGCCTGAACATCGATTACCACGACGCGCAATGCTGACTAGTGTTGGAGACAGTTGGAAGAACGTTGGGGGTGATATGTTATCATGTTTTTGCAGCTATCGCTAGGCCGCCGACCAGCATTGTCCAACCCACTCTGTCCTCCGCCTTCCTTTCCAGTTCTATTCACTTTTTGTTCATTTTTCTCATGTCTGTTTCCATTTATCGGCGTAATTTGTCTTTTAGCCTTGAGGATTCCATGTGAGGGCTTACTTTGTGACGCAGTTGGATGCTTTCCTGAATGTGTGTCCTATCCTTGTTTATTTACATATTTTTAAAAAATGCTTCATTTTTAAGATATTTTTTTACTGACTTAATTATTGAGTCTAACAAATCTGTTGGGATTGTCTAATTTTAATTTATAAGATCAATCCTTCGGAGTGAATTTACTATGAACAATGTTGTTTAGTGAAAACGTTGATGTCAAATAGAATGAAATTGAATTGGTTGTTAGTAGCATTTCCTAATGTATATGTACACTAAGTTGTCAAATGTGACTATAGTTTTTAGGGTAAAGTTGTCGGTGGATTGTTATGGATTAATCGAATCGTTCGGTTTTTCTGAATGATTTACATCAGTTAGAGAAGGCAACATAAATTGGTTGGAACCAGTAGAGGTAGTAGTTGTTGTAGTCGGTTGTTGATTTCGAAAGTTATAGTTACAGTTAATCTCTCGGGAAAATCTGGTCGTAGGATTACCAATGTGTTAATGTAACATATTCAACGGGGAATGTGCCATCTTTTCTCGTAGCACAAGCAATCAATAGTGTAAATTGACAATCCTAGCCTGATTTAGTTATTTTTTAGTGAAAATTATACTATTATTAGGTTATTGATATATTTAGTAAAAACTTGGGTTAATTATTTAGGGTAGTGAAATAAATTTAAATTTTCCCTTACTCCGCATAGCTGGTGGGTCTGAACAAATCATACATGATAATGAACTACAGTCGTGGAGACATGAAATTGCCAGTCCAATGGAAGAAGGTGGTTTAGGCCTAGTCGGTGTCCCTGGTAGTACGATAAAAGTGAGTGATTTATTGGCCTAATGTTTTATTTTCTTTCCTTTTCTGTATATTATATTTTAATGACTAATAATAATAAACATTATTCGGAGTAATTTTTATTTATTGATTAAATCAAATAGGTCATTGGGTTTATGTATGAGCTGTGATATGGTTCGGATGCACAGACCGAAGTAGCTAGTTTTATTAGGGAGTCACTCCCCGAGTCTTTAATCTGAAGGTCCAATCCACAATGCGGTTGACCAACGTTAGGAGATGCGGTCCCATGTTAACCGGTGACCAGCATCAGGTTCATACGCCATCTATCTCCTCAGGATTCTGGAACCCATGTACACTACTAGTATGGGATCAGGATTTTCAACTCCATTAGGTGGATTCTTTTTACCGACCAACCTGTTATAAGAGCCAGACATTTGCTTTTCGTCCCCTCAACCTTGTGAACAACCCCTCATCCACGAGAAAGTAGAGAGTAGGACTTCACTGGCAGTCGTTATATACGCTTGGTCATATAAGAGCATTCGGGGAAAGAGAGTAGACTCCCCATTCTAGACCAAGTCTGGTCATTTGAAAGCCTTGAAGTAAAGTACCTACGCTAATATAAAAAGTTCTCATACACATATACAGTTGTAAAAGTTTTAATCCATCTGTGTAGTGTATGTTTAATAGGACCATCGTTTTTTCGTAATTCCAGTCAACTATTGACTAACTTTGATGCCCGTCTGTTGTGTAGCTTGTTTTTCATTTGTTTATACTTTATATTTCCTAATGAGTGTTCGTACTTCTTTATGGTCTGGCTAACTTCATACTCTTTGGCGTTAATAAAACATATAAATATTTTTATTTATAATAGCCAATTAACATAAACCACTATAAATCACTATATGAGTTCTGATTCATGGATATTATTCGGTCTGTTTTCCGAATAACACTTTTCCTCACACCTGTTACCACTCGTGTGGCATAGATCCCTAACTGGGAACCTTTAACATACTCTGTCATGGGATCTCCTTTCCAGTTGTTGCTAAGCAATAACACTGTTGTGTTATGCTGACAGATAAAAGCAGTATGTAGCCGTAATCGGAAATGGAATGCCTGGCAGCAGAAGATTGAATTGAAGAGAACAGAAAGGAAATCGGAGAACCATCGAAATAACAGTACAATTATAGGGATAGTGGAGTAGGTAAAGACAACACAAAGAAGATATGCAAATGATGTATATAGTTCATGATTTCCATATTTTACTTATCTCTGTGTGATTTTGCATTAAACAATAAATCGGTTTTCCCTACCTAAGTTCTCACGTCAACATTAGTCCGTCTAAGTTTTAATTGCTGATAAAACTTTTTATTTTAAGTAATAACTAGTTATGTAGCTGACTGACATCTGTAGCTGATAAGTATCAACAATAAGAAAATCTTAATGCAGAGGGCCATTTCAATTTTCCCCAAATATGTGTTACTTCAGTGAATTTGTATCTGATATAGGATGTGAAATATATTCTCTTATACATACATTCAGATATAAATCACTGAACACAAATAATGAATAATAACTATTATTTTATTTCTTATCTCCATACAATTAATTGATAAATTCAATTTCATATTCGTTTCCATCCTATACAGCTTCGTACAAATTCTGGACCAGAAGATTATCTACAAGATAATGTTACAGAAGAAATATTTGGTTTGAATACGGTTGAAGAAGTGGCCAAATTTCTAATGGGAATTCTTTATCTTGGTATTATTGTTACTGGTTCAGCGCTTCGATTACCAATGTTTGATGAGTATGGCTTTCCAGCACAATATCCGTTAAGTTTATTTGGTTCTCCTCCTTTAGATAGAAATACATTTTGTAAGTTGATCTGTACAAATTGTTTATCCGAAGAAAATGAGAGGATAATTTTCGTGATTTTTTAGTTGAATGTAGTCGATAATTAAAGTTGCTTTCAGTTTAAACAAAACACTCACTCAAATAAATTGTAGTTTTATCAATTAGATTATCTCTTCATAGTCATAAGTCAAGTACACTCCTGATATTTCTACATTTCAATAAAATGTAAGGTACTGGGAAAAAGATAATTTTCTCCATAATCAGTAGTATTCGTTGTAATTGTATCAATTTACTTGGCGATTTAAAAAAATGAAAATTTTAACCGTAAGACAAACTAATGTCTACAAAATTTTATGTGTGAGGTACTAAAAAACTCTGGATTCGAACATAACAACCATTTAGTGTACCAATATTTTTGGAATTAATCAAATAACTGATGTCATTATTTGTAGTTCGAAGATTATTTTGTAGAGGAGTCCAGATTCCCCTAACCAAAGTCCTACTACTGTTTATGACAACAATCATTGGCCATCTGTATCAATACCTTCGTAAATTAAAAGGGTTTCTGAAACTTATTTATGTAGTCGCTCATAAGTCAACAAATTGGTTCTCACTACTTTTGTATCGGGTATATCTTCAACCTCTGACGAGCTCTTGTTTCTTAAAAGGCTTTAATTTCGTTTATTTATTATTAAAATCATATAGATCGGTGACAATGCCAATTCTGTTAATAGTTCTACTTGAAATATATTAAATCAGTCATCTGAATATATAAGATGTTTATGAATTTTACAGTTGGTTTCACTTGCTTTGCGTTTAATTATTTTCCTTGAAATTTTTCTCATGTAGCCGATGGTACTTTGAACGGTGCACATGGCAGTGTGTTTAGCTTTTCAAATGTACAAGGTCTTGATCGTGTATTAGCTTCACTGCCTAATCGTCAAATGACAGTAGAAACTGTTCTCTACACTAGATTGGCTAGTCGAGTTCAACAATCTGTTTTAGGTCAATATGAATCGGATTTCATATTTAAAAAGAAAGCAGTTGTTCTATTAGATCAGTAAGTTGTATCATATGATACAAAATCCATCATTTTAATTAGATGCTTGCGATAGATTCGATTTCACTCATATTTATTGAATCTGTTTCTTTTTTTCTAAATAAATTCATTAATATAACTACACAATTGATACAATTAAAGTTTGCAGATCTTTTAATGCTTACTTATTGACTGGAAATTATTGAACAACTAAGTACTTTAAGTAAACATTTTTGTATAGTCTCGAAATCGTAATTTTGTGAGTTTATCGAACACTTCGCGTAAAAGTTGAGAACTTCAGTTAATAATTTGTTATGATTGCCTCTAGCTCTTGTTCACATCGAAAATAGTGTCTGATGATTTCATATCACTTCTTGTCATCATTTTGAGGTGGTGTTATGCTTTTTTTTATTGGAAACTGTTGTAATTCTCCCTTATTACATATATATTTGGCGCGCTCCTGTACCAATATATATGTGTTCAAATAAATAAATAAATAATTACAACCCAGCTATTCCTTTTGCTTAGTATTCTCGGACACCAATTCACTCGACAAGTCCCCAAATCAGAACACGGTTGAACAGGAAAGAGATTATATTCCAAACAAGAAGGTTAGATGGAAGTAAGATGCGCAATAGGAAAAACGTTAGTATATTTATAGTTTTTACATGAGAAGATTCTAGAGTGTCCTCCAAGTATCGACTAGCGCTGATCGGATAAGAAATAGCCAATCAGCGTGTACTAACGCAGTCGTTCATTAAGTATGCTATCCAATCTATGTCCCGCTAAGAGAAACATTCGTGAACCCAGTAAACTGTTGTAAGTTCATCCTATCAGGATAATTATTTCTAACTAAAAAAATTTTGCAACAGTTAAAAACACCGTTCAAACAAAAGGTTAGCCATTTCTTTAGGGATAAAACTTGACGTAGCTTATTTCGCTGTACTGGTAAGTAATTCACAGTTTCAAAATCTGCTCACTATAATAAAGTTGTTTGATAATTGATTAGTATCATTGTCTATGCTAATCAACATGTTTACCATTTATATGTATTTTACACTACGTACGATTGAAATCCTTGCTGTACTTTTACCAATAGACTATGTTGTAAGGGACCTACATGCATATGCATTAACCTAGAGAAAATTGTCCCGACACAACCTATAGATCTGGACTCAATTTCTCTAACACTCTTCTACACCTCTTGCTAAAATTATTCAGTCAAAGAATGTTTTGTTCTACATAGAGCTTTTCGTTTTTGTCTATCTGAGTAAGGTCACTAAGTGAATAGGAAAGAGTAGTGTTCATATGCCTCCATGCAGTTTTGTTTTGTTTGTATGTGCCAAACGATGTATTCACCTATTTATGGTATATTTGACATAGGTTTTTCATAATCACAAGAAGCTGGCACTTATTATATATTTTGTAAACGCTAATTTCTTTACTTTGTAAACCTTAACATCCACGCGATATATCTATATATCTATATAAATTAAAATTTATGGTGGCTCTTTTGTATTTTTACTACTATACAGACGTATCCTTGAAAAGTCAAGTGAAATTTATGACCTCAAAAATTGCTCATCATTTTAAATTGTATTAAGCACAAGAAATCTGTGTAAATAATTCAACTACTTGTGTTAACTTGGTTTCAAGTAACCAATTAGAATTCAAAGTAATTTTTGCACAGGAAATATTAACTATCTAGTGCTGTTTAGTAGCTAACTTAGTAATTGTTAGTCATTAAACTTCACCATTAGTCCTATCGTATAGTGATAGTAGTGCAACGATAACGGTGATCCAATTCAGAGAATTATCTCATAAGGTACTTGAACCTCTCTTCTTTACACCGACTGATTGTTGTTATGTATAGATTGCCGTAGTATCTCATTACTTGTTTACTTTTGTCTTCAGTTACGTGTTGGATTCCGAATGTTGTCACAGGGATTTCTCTTGTCGGTGGTTGTTCCACTCCAGTTGTTCAATTATTCATTATTCCTCCTCCAATTAGTTTGACAAAACAAATAAATGTCATCATCAGTGGAATATTTGATGCTATAAAAAGTTTTACTTTTGCCACACATTTATGAAATTATTCAGTTTGAAACCAACTTCTTGTAATTTCATGTGTAATTTCAGCGTCAACGAGAGTTACGCTAATTATCCATCGTTTTATTTTTACTTTTATAGATTTCGCCATGATTTGGAAGATGTGGCTAGACAGATTGATATAAATAACAGTGCTCGTGATATGCATCATCAGTATCGAGCTTTAGATCCTTCACTAATGCCTAATTATCCAGGAATTTGATTGATGATCAACGATACATATTTAGTTTTTTTTTAATATGTGTACAAAATAATTGAAACATTTTTGTCGAATGTTAAATAAATCAGTGCAAAATGAAATACATATCCTTGATTCCCTCTATTGTTGTGCATTCTTTATAATGATTCTTATTCATAATCACTTACTGCATTCATAATCTGTGGTCAACTTCACTATGATTTACTCTTAAAATTGTCTTCCAATAATTTTTCTGTTTACTTTATCTAATAATATTATTTATTTTGATGTTCTCATTTTATTTTATTTCATTTGTATCTATTTATTACTGTATCAATACATACCTAGTCGAGTTTTATTCATCATTAAAACTATTCTTTATTATGATGTAGTGTAGAATGTCTGTGATTAACATTGACCAACTTGGTTTCGCGTAACTCGAACTGACGTACGTACGTACGAAGTTCTACGTTGTTACTGACTGACAGATTAACATTCAAAAGTATTTCTAGTATGTATAATCAAAACTAGTTCACATAAAATTCATATCAGTCAATTACTTAATATTCTTTATCAAAGAAAAGCATTACTTTTTTATCATTTACACATTTATGTTTAATGTTGTTTATACATAAGTCTATGTAGACTATATTGTACCTCTTTTGTTTTATTCAATTACATAACATATCAATATTATTTTATTATTCATTATTATCAAACACATTGTTGTCATTTTTAAATGAATCATTTTCTTACACTTTTCCCTCTATTTTTTTCAATTTCGTGGGTTTTTTAAAAAAAATTTATTTATTACAACGATTAGTGTATTGGTAATATCCGATATCAGTAGTTTTGACAGTTTTAGTTTTGTTGACATTACCAGTAAAGAGAATAATAATGTCAGATTGTTTTTTTTGTTTTTTTAAAAAAGGTGATTTTATAAACGCACTTTAGTAATTTTTTTTATAAATAATTATAATATAGAAATTATTTGCACTTAATCTTTCACCTTCTTATTGTTGCTTATTGAATGTTTGTTACTTTTTTTTCGGTTGATTGTATATAACAAATAATAAATGATTTAAAGGGAAATTGATTGATTACAGACAATACAGTTGTGTTTTTTCTATTGTTTATCATGTTAAGTGATGATTAGATTTTAAACTTCATATGTGTTTCAGTTTATTTTATATTTTACTAGACATTGATAATCGTCTAATTAACTAGTGAATAGGATCTTTATGGAAGTCGACTTGAAGAAAACAGAAATGGAAATAATTGTGACTTGGAAGAATCATACAGAATTTGAATGATAAATGATGAATTTAAATACATTGGTTATCCCCATCTGCATTCTTGTTCAGTACACTCTTTCTTTGGACAATATAGATTATTAAGAGTATTTATTGTTTTGAATTCATGAAAATGTTTAAATTACCTACTATTATTTGATATCTAAAGCATGGTTGGAACAACTTTGTAATGAGATAGGTTTTAGGGGTTCTTAAACTCTGTCTCAATACTATGAACTTTTATGTTTATCAAACATGAACTCAAATCAGTTTGCCTTCTTCCAGTTGCTATGTTAAGTTTCTTTTTTAAATACTTTTCTCGAATTTATTGACGTTCGTTAGTTTTTTTACTAACAATAAACATCAATAATCATCCATTATAATTCAATTGAATAATATTTACATTCTTTTTTGATGGGAATTTGCTAATTTTTAACGATTTTTTTCTCATGTTAAAATGTATAAATATCTAGATATGATGATTCAGTCAAATTCAACATTATGTTTAAAAAATTTCTACGGAGTATTTAATTCTTTATTACGATATGTTTCTACAACAGGATCTGTTAGTAACGTCAACAATCTTTTCAATTTCAAGTTAGTTTATTGATGTTCTATGATTACCCTGCTATGAATATGGTTGTTTTTTCTTGCATATTAGTCAATTTTTTATATAATTTTTGTACTATAAAATTATTATTCCGTTAACGAAAAATCAATGATGATAAATAAAAGTATATTAATTGGCATAATGCAACAGTTAAAATATGTAATGTATACTTCATTTTAATTGCGTCTATGTTATTATCAGTAACTGTGTGTTATAACGTGTATTTGTTTATCAAATAAGAAAAAAAACTAATAGATGTTGTATGAACATTTCGTCCTAATGTGAAGTCCTTCGAAGGCGATTTACGATTTCGTCGCTAGAAATCGAAGTTGGGACTTTAAGGTCATGCAGCCTGTGTGTTATTTGTAGGCAATCTGTGCAGGAACACAAAAACGTGCTGGTAGTTCAACCCCGTTTGTAATAGTTATCATTTCATAATATAAATGATCTTCACAGACCTCTTCCTAAAAATAAGTATTTTTTTAGCTAGTTGTTGGGTTTGTTTTTTCACGTTTTTAGTTTGGCTGAAAGTATTTTTACATACCACTTTGATGTAGATTCAAATATAAATATTTTGCTCTCGTTGTCAAAAGTATTGCTTAATTAACTTTACTACTAGTAGTAGTAAATTGTGAAAATCGAAATTTATTTCCATAAAAAGCCGAATCAACCCCATGATCTGTAATATTCTATTTCGAAATTCCTAACAACCAGTAGTTTTCTTCATTATCTGACTTTTCGAATGTCCAGTTTCTTATGTTTATTTTTTTCACTAAATAAAATGTATTTCTCATCCATCGTTCTTTTTTTTAATTATTAACAGAAATCTCGATTATAAGATAATAGATATTAACCTGTTGTCCTGTGAGCAATACATAAATATGGGAAGGATAATAAAAAGGATACACGTACGAATGACTTAATAATATATATAGCTATCTAAGTAAATCAGATTATTCTTATTAATAACCTTGGAGTGTTTACCAAATAAATGTGCTAAACTGGTTTATGGTTGACATTTTTGTTTATACACTACTATAATGTTCAATATATCCAGGTGTTTTTACATATTGTATTCTTGCTCATATGACAGATAAGATTTTACCGTCGAATATATGTGAATACTTTATAGCGTTGTGTAAAATATCAATTTAAGCTCATTTTTTCAAGGGATTGTAATATTAGTGAATGTTAAGCTGTGACTATTCGTCAAATATATTACAGTGATAAATATCATGTTAAATTCACTAAGGTGGATTATTTCCATTTCCATCAGAATATTTTGGTTAGAAACCTCTCTCGTAAAACGTAGATATTTTCATCTATTTTTTCGTAGTAAGTGTCAGCAAGTGATGTGTAAATACATGTCTGATTTTTTCTAACTGTATTTTGTCCGTGGAACAAATAATACCATTAACAATATGATAATTCGCAAACAACTTTATATATAATCGATTACCAACAATACATTTTACATATTGGTATATGGTTGCTCGTAGTTAATTTATGGTTTAAAATGTATACTCGTAGATGAGTCATAGATCATTTGTGAATAATTAAGGTTCTCTTGATGATGTATACTGCTTATGTGATATCATTTCATTATTCCCACTAGTCATTTGATTAGTACTATCACTCATTTAAATGCCAAAATTTAAAATAAAATACTTTTACATTTCAACAGTCAGTGGCGTATTTTGCAGATACCATCTCGAAATCGCAGAAGTGAAGAGGTGAAGAAATTTTATTCAGAAACTGGTGACTATAACCCTCCAAATCAAGATGCTATTGATAGATTTAAACGTCTTCGTTGGGGTGCATATATTCATGCACGAACTGGTCGAGCTAAACATTTATATAGGTAATATATATATATACTTCTTTCATTATACATTATTTCATTCTGAAAAATATTCACAGAATTAATGTCATTGAATAATTTTGTTATAACGAAGGGATATTAGTATTGTATATGTATTTAATCGAATTTTCTCCATCTTTTTTATCTGTAGCCGAGTAATGAATAGTTATTCAAAGCGAAATGGATTAATTTGTACTTAAAAAACCAAGTTTATTGAAAATTGGATAGGCGCTTCTCACTGTTTTATACTAGGTGATAGTTTGTGCGAATTTGTAGGGTTAGGGCTGATGATATCTTAAGTTTTATACTCGTAGATATTGTTTCAAAGTAATTACGTTTAGCTAATATAAGACCTTAACTTGAACATGTAGTGATTATTTTTTTAAAATGAAAATCTGTAGTTTTGTGATGTAAACCAATGATTGTGGTAAGCTGAAGGATGAACGAAAATAACGTGTGCAGTTTTATTTGCATGAATTGTACTTAAGTTTGATCTGCGTTCGTGTCTTGCAGTGAACACATTACCTTGAAAGTACACATTGGAAATTAGATATTTAACACTTTGTTTGTGCTCTTTATTTTCCAGTGGTTCTTGTATTATAGTTTGTGTACGTATGAGTTACATTTGATTGTCGATTATTCTTTGCTTTTTTTTACCGGTTTCACAATTTCAATAAACGTCAGTTTTTATTTATTCTTCCTTTTACATTGGTACACAGACGAAGTGAATCTGAATTAGACCGACGTTCAGAGCATATTTTGACCAATCGTGCAACAACGTTTTTAGTAAATAATTTGCTAAATAGACAATGGCGAACACCAAAATATTATCCAAATGATATTTATGAACCATATCATCAAAGAACCGGTGTCCCTTGGGATTATAAATTGCGAAAACCAAAATTCTTCCCTTGAATGTTATAATGCTATTTAGTTAAATTTACATATAAACTTTTTAATGATAATATCTTTTATGATTGATCATATTCGGACTACAGGTAACGGTAGACATCTAAATCTGTTTTCTTATACTCTTTCTCCATGGCTTTAAGGAAGAATAAATTGAGAAAAGTAAACAAGATACCAGGTGAAATGCAGCGAATAGTGCTTTTGGCATTTTTGTGGTTGTTACAGTTATTTCGTGACCTTTTGATTTAAGGTCAACACGAATAGCTATTATTACTCCACGTTAAGTGATGATATGTCAGTAATGTGATAATGAGAATATGATAATAATTATAATCCCAATCGAACAATCCGTCAACTAGATCAGTGAGCAGAGTTGACACAGGAACAAAGTATTGATATGATAATACGATTTCAGCATGTTCTGTCGCTTCTGTACTGACTTCGCTGAATGCGTCGGGTTAGAGAATGAGTTGCGCTTCGATTAAGTCAGGCACTTGGTCCATTTATCGGATGTGCAGAGTTCGAAATGTTCATCATCTACGAAGTCTTGGAGGTTGCATTAGGTTCGTAGTAAGGCTCAGTACTTTAATGTGGCCAATTAAGTCGGGCGATCATTTATCGACGTGCTAACCACTTTAGTGGCCCTGTATCTGACTCTGATTAAATCTTTTCTGATTGTGATCGAAATATACATCCTGACTTAAATCGTGTTGGCGAATGACGGAATTAAAGTGAAATACGAGAATGAAGCTTGAGTGCGCATATTTCATACAATCGGCGATCTGAACAGACAACCAGAGAGGGGAAGCGAAACTAAACGATACGCATTGAAGAAGGCGAGTGAGCCGATTCCATTTGATAACTCGTGACTCAATATTTATATTCAGACAAAAATAAATTATAGACACGTAATGAATAGAGTAAGCAATTAACACACATTCGACCACATAAAAACAGTCTGAGTTAATCAGCAAATAGTTGACAAGGTCGTAATGTGGCTTGAGAAGAATAAATAAATTGGTCTTTCCAGAAGCTAGAAAAACCTATGTGGGCTTGACATAGGGCCGGTCACTACAAGTTTTCCAACACATAGCCTTAATTAGGTTATTTATTATCTGTGGAAAGTGATGCATATTTTATGCATTTCAGTAATTTTTTTAAAAGTCTATTACTATAACTGATTCGAAAAAATTTTATAGGCTTTCTTTGACGATGGCGGAAATCGATTATCAGACATATCGATTGGGAACGAAAATTTTACATCTGACTAACAAACGGCTCTTTAAAATAACCGTGAAAGTACAAAACAGTGAACTTCTATTCGATAAATAAGTCTGGGAAGTATTTTTTCAAAAAAGAGAATTATCAACCATATTAGGAATAAAACTTTTAAATAATCTACTATTTACCACTATCAAAACAAACTTTACAAAGATAACTATTTTTTCATCACAGTAAGTAAATGTCAAAAATTTGATGTAAAAATATAATTATAAAGTTTATTACTTGCATCAGTTATTAATAGAATCCGGGATAAGATCATATTTTTCATTCTGTTGAGCTTCTATGTAGAGGTACTCATGTTTGCAAGTACTGTTGCAAACAAGAACAATGAGGGACAATCAAATGTGTTTGGGTAAAACGTCACAGAATCTGTTGTGAAACCATACATTAAAGACTTCATTTGCGAATGTCAATCAATTGTCTCAAATGTGATCGTTCATTCGTATCCACACCAATCACTCTATGTTCTCGTTCTCTTCTTTTCGATCTTAACCTTCTGCCACTAGGCATTTCATACACACATGCTACTTATATCTGTTGACATCAGTAGCATACACCACAGTACCTATGCCACTTTCGATACAACATAGGACATCTGTTAAGGAATCACAGATGAACTGTCAGTTTTCTTTTCATAAGTGTACGATATCGTAACTCACTAACTTCGTGTTGCTTCAAAGTTCGAATGGATTACACTGGTGTTTGGGCTGTGGTAAGATTTACTTGCATAAGATTGGCTGTCTTTAAATATGATGAAATCAACTTGTTTTAACTGCTGATGTATCACATGGAAATAAAACGATATAATTCTGTACTAGAATTCACTGATTAGATCCGTGATGCATTTCAATGGATCAGAACGTGAAAAACGCTGAATTAAACATTTGAACACTGAGAAAAATTATTTGATGTGTTTCAAGAAATGCCACCCTAAATCTCCAGTCACTGTAAGCATACTGAAGACATTACTCGAGAAGCTGCATGTTTTCAAAATGGTTTAGGCTATCAACTGGTTACGTTTAAGAAGTAATGGAATCTTCGAATGTGATAACTTCTTTATTTATTTATTTTGATAGATTCATAAGATGAGGCGAGTAGGCCTAGAACAAATTCCTTAAAAAAATGAAAAACTAGTTCAGGAATAAAATGATCTAATTCTTGTCGGCCGCAGTAAAAAAGGCAGTAGACTGATGAACGAAATGCTTGTCATTTTACAACTACTCAAATATATTGCCCAAGTAATATGCTTTAAAAGCTTGGAAATAAGTCGAAAGTATTTTGATTAATATAAGGTCTTTTCAAGTACCAACACATTACAGAAGTATCAAAGCAGATAAACTGAACAACACATTCAACAATTGAAATTCCCAAGCTTAAATTTTCTTATGGGATAATCTCAACGCATAAGTTTTGTAAGGTTAGATTTCCAAATGATTTCTTTAAAAAAACATAAAGCGTTGCTATCCTAGCCTGAGTATGCTATATTTTTGAATAATTTGAGCCAAGTGGATTGTTTTCGAACAGGAAACCAACTTACAAGCAGTTTACTAGGAAAAAGCTCACCATCTGTGTGTAGTTGATGTAGTAAAAGATAAATAATAAACACTGGTTTTCGGCACTTCACTTATTATGAACTATCACATAGGTATTTCGATTAATGTAAGTCGATAACTGCTGTGCTTGTTCTCTACTTTAATGTACTTCCAAAAAACTGCTTCGACATAAATAAGTAACGGGCTATATTTTGTGTAATTTTAAGTTTCTTTAATTAACGCATTTTGGTTGGAATTAATATATCCGCAAGCTTTCTGGAGTTTTTCTATTTCTGAATCCTCGATAACTATAGACTGAAAAAATGGAAACCATCTTTCAGCTACTAACTATGGATAGACAAGTTGAGTCTTCTTCAATATATTTGCTTGAAAAGACTAGCATTATCGAACTAATTCGCGTTTAATGGGTTTAAATTTCTCCGCAGTGCAAGCTAAATATTCATCGAATCTATTACTTCAGGCGCTATGTAAAATGAGCAGCAAGTTGCGATAAGTCTAAAAAGTATAATTAACTCGTCAACGAATTTTCTTTATTGAAAAGGATTAGAAAAAAATAACCATCAACTAGTTGATATCATTAGGAACATAAGACAAAAGGCAGGGATAAGAAAAGCAGGAGTGGTCTTCCTACAATTTAAGAATATATGGAACTCGAAACAAATGTCAGCCAACACCGAAGTTAGAATTTCCAATAAAAAACACCAAGACATTCCTATCGTATGGAACTAGAACTTAGAGAACTACTACCGTCATCATCAGACGGAAACAGGTATTCATATACAGTTTACGCAAGATCTTTCAGATCTGTAGGCCAGACACCATTAGCAAAATCAACAATCGCATAGAAAAAACTAAATTCCAGTTAAGGAGAAATTTAGAGAAAGACGCTGGAGGTGCATAGGAGACACTGCAAGTCTATATATATCTGCATCACAAATTGATCTCTAACTTGAAATTTCGAAGGTAAAAGAAAAAGTTGTTGACCAAAGAACATGTTGAGCCAGAAATCAAAAGAATGAATAGCACTCGAAAGCAACTGGAAAGGAGAGCCTAGGACAGAGTACGTTTGAGATTTTTGTGAGAGGTCACAGGTATAAAGAAGTAAAAGCTTATGTATACAATTGAAGTTATTTGCGGAATATTCATATTAATTTGTTATTCCTTAAGTGATAATTTTTTTACAAGATGTACCGGTTTTTCAAAAACTTAAGCAGAGTTTATGTATTTGATATTTGACAAAGCAATTCTATTCACATCACCCAAGATCAAATTTTGAGATATTCACTTATGCCTCTAATCAAGCGAGATTAAAACAACTAATGTGATCACGATTTGGATTTCCAGAGTCCATGTTTTTAGGGCCTTTTATAATTGGATTAAGCATCAAGAACAACATATCGATACTATCAGAAGTTTAGTTATTAATCAATAATACTCAAAATTATCTTATTTTTTGCAATAGTATTACAGATAAAAATAAGGTATTGTAATAATTTACTTGCCGTTTATGAAGTACTTTCGAGCCAGTTGTTAGAAAAATGGAACAATACTTATATAGCCTTACCGTTACATGTGATCTTGAACATTACCTCATTGAGAGTTTACTCTCTTATTAACTAAAATAATAAATGCTCTATTAAAATGGGTTATTAGCAAATAATTAGCGTTTCAAATAGTTTGAATTATTTCTGGTTAGCATTTTTTCTTGAATTAGTTTTCTACCCATACCCAACCATATTCCGTTATCCGAGTTTGGGACCGGCAGTAGCCCCAGAGGGTATCCAGGCGGAGTTATGAGTGAATGATTGCTAAATATTATCGTAATTGAAGCACTAAATATTATCCAATTCAAAAACTAACTTTCCACACATTTTATAAACTAATTGAGTGACATAGTAACTAGAACTCTCTTCACCACCATCACAATCAGAAATATGAAAATTGCTCAGTAATCACTGATAATTGGTTCGTGTATTAAAAAAAGAAATTTATGAAAGATGTGTGTTGTTGGGTTCATTTTTTTCATATTTTAACTGATCATTGAATAGTCTACAAATAACAAACTGTATTATTTGTTCTTTCGAAATATTGAATTAATTTATAATTCTGATATGATAGAAATAAAAGTCCATTTTCGATTGATTTACTCATTATGAGTTATTGTTCAAGAATACTTCTTCCGTTTTGATTCAGTGTTATAATTACTCAATGTAATA